GGAGTTCAGGTTTTGTCTCTCTCTCTCTCTTTTTTTTTTGAGACAAGGTCTCGCTCTGCAGTTCAGGCTGGCCTTGAGCTCGCTTTGTAGCCCAGGCTGGTCTCGAACTCACAAGGATCCTCCTGCCTCAGCCTCCCGACTGCTGGGATTACAGGCGTGCGCCACCACGCCCGGCCCAGGTTCCGTCTCTGTCGGGACCCCATCTGCCCACGTTCAGCCGCCCCCCATTGGCTACTGGCCGTTGGGCCAAGCCACCCTGCTGTCTGGGCTGCCTGTGTCTGAACGGTGGCGAGAAGGCAAAGCCGGACTCGGAAGGCTGCGCTGAGAATGAAAGCTTTAATGCGCGTAAACTGCTGTGCCTGGCCCCTGCGATGTAATCAAGACATGTTGCTGTAAAACAGGTTCAGGACTTCCTACCTTCAAATAAAACGTCTCTTGCTTTAGGCTTTATCTCCACTGACTCCTACCCAGCCTCTTCTTCCTCATCTGAATTTTATTAAATATTCATCTTTTATAAAATGTGGTTGAACAGGACGAGTTTGTGTTCTCTAAAATCCAAGAATGAATTTTAGGAACAACGGAGGTTAAGAGCAGAATGGATGTCAGTGTTGTAGGCAGTTGAGTTAGAAATACTACAGGCAGTCAGACAGGGCCAGGCCTGTGAAGGAGCCAATATGGACCACAAAACACCTTGCAAATGGAGACATACTTGCTTCGGGCCAGACCGCAAGACAAAAGATTAAAACAAATGCACCCACATACCTCCTTAGGGATGGGTATCAGCAATTGATATTCTACATAGGTAGCGATCACCTTGAAGAGTCACTGACCCAGCCCCTTACAGGAACAGCCCCTGTTCTGTATTCATGGCTGCTTGCAGCATGACTTGCTTCCCCATTTGATCCTGATTTAATCAATCTTACCTGAACAATTATAATCTTATTGGCTGATCATAGTTTTGTCCCACCTCATGCCCACCTTGTGATTTCCCATTTTTTCCCCCACCTTGGACCTGCCTCACCTTGTGGTTTTGCTTTATAAAAGATGAGTTCCCTGGGCAACCCCTCGAGCCCCTTTCTGTCCCTCTCTTGCACACAAGCTTTCTTTCCCTCAATAAATTCTGCTCTTAACCTCCATTGTTCCTAAAATTAATTCTTCGATATTAGAGAACATGACCTCATCCCAGATATCATTCAGGTTGGGAGTTTCTTTCCCCTATATCATCAGAACCAATATCTATTAATTCCTTTGCCTTTCCCGTGTTGTGTGCAGTATGGCTGCTCCTCCTCCTGCCATTGCATATACATCCACATTTAAGATGGAAAGAAAAGAAATGGTTAAATGTGTGAATTGGAAACATCTGTTTCTTGTTATGAAGAGAAATAATTTCCTAGAGCCTATCCTCAGTGGAATCTTTTAAAAAATTTTTTTGTCTTTTTGAGGTGGGGATTTCACTACATAGTACAGGCTGGCCTTGAACTCACTTTTTTTTTTTTTTTCCTGAGACAGGGTTTTGGTGTGCAGTTCAGGCTGGTCTTGGACTCACTTTGTAGCCCAGGCTGGCCTCAAACTCACAGCAATCCTCCTGCCTCAGCCTCCTGAGTGCTGGGATTACAGGTGTGCACCACCACACCTGGCTTCCCCATCCTTTTCAAGGATTTAACACAAAATTATAGCTTCTAGGTATTTCATAGATATTTCTTCAGGAAAAATTTCCCATCAACTGTTGGCCCCAGACACCTAGTTTGTCTCCTGTGTAAATCAGCTTTCCCTTACTGCACTAAAACACCTGAAATTGTCAATATAAAAAAGAGGAGCTGGGTATGGTGGCACATACCTGTACTCCTGCCAGCCTGAGCTATGTAGTGAATTCAAGTTTAGCCTGAACTACATAGTGAGACTTTATCTCAAACAACCAAACAAAAGAAACAAACAACCAAGAAAAAAAAAAGAGGAAAGATATATTTTGACTCAAGATTTCAGAGTTTCAGTCCATGGCCATTGGCCTTCTTGCTTTTAGGCCTGTGGCCCGGATGTATGGCACGGCCAGAGCATGTGGAAGAAGCTACTCATTTCAAGGCCACCAAGAAGTGAATTAAAAGTGGAGGAAGAGAGGCCAAGGCCCAACATCCCCTCCAGGGCACCCCCAATGACCTGACTTCCTTCTACTTGAGTGGCCCCACCTCCTAAAGGTTCCCATCTCCCAGGAGCACCCCAGGCTAGACCCAAGCCTTTAGCACATGGGCCTTTAGGAGCCCTTAATACCCAAACCATAGCACCTCCCTAAGGATGGATAATGTAATAAACCCCTTGTGAGCTTTTAGAAATACTTTGTGTGCATACTGGAAAATCTACCTACACGTATTTTTCTATTTAACTTTTTTTTTGGAACCAGGAATTGAACTCAGGACCTTGCAGTTGCCAGGCAGGTACTTACGCCACTAAGCCATATCCCCGGCCCCTTACAAGTATTTTTTTGCTTCTCAGTATTTTATTATTTGTTTTTGCAGTGTTAGGAATGCACATGGGAGGCAAGCACTTAATCACTGATCTGTACCATCAGCCCTTTTCTCTGTATTTTCCCTCAAGGATGAGGATATACTATACATTGTTCTGTGCTTGGCTTTTCCCTGCACTTACAATATCTAACAATGTATCTCGGAGATCACTTGTTATCCTTAGAGAGAGGCCTTCATTCTTTTCTTTGCTGTGTGCAATGTGTTACTTAACTGTCCTCTACTGATGTGGATTTAGGTTGTTTCCAACCTCTCATCAACAGCCCCCACAGGGAGCCTCAGGGGGCTGAGCAAGCGGCAACTCTGGCACTGACCGAAGCCCCAGGTGTGAGCACGAAGCCTGGGCGTGAGCGCGAAGCCCAGGTGTGAGCGCGAAGCCCAGGTGTGAGCGCGGAGCCAGGTGTGAGCGCGGAGCCAGGTGTGAGCGCGGAGCCAGGTGTGAGCCCCGCCTGCGGGCCAGCCCCTCGCGGCTGGCCGGGCTCTGACAGGGAGGACGCAGCCCAGGCGGCACGGGCACTCGGGAGAGGGGCGCCGCGGTGTGCCCTGTGCGCCAGGCCCCGCCCTTCGCCACGCGTGCTGAAGAGCCCGCACAGCCAGCACCTCGGCTCGCGCGGACCAGACTGCGCCCGGCTGGCCGCTCCCCGAGACGCTCCGCGGGCCGCCCGGCCCTCTGCGTGCGCTGCTTCCACCAGCAACATTCCCCCCACCCCAAATCCGGTTAAAACCGTCATTTCTGGGCAGCCCACCTTCAGGACGCTGGCAAAGGCCCTCGGCAGCCTTCGGGAGCCTCCTGCGCGCCCGCTTCCCCCATCCCGCCCCGCCCGGGAAGGCCCGGCTGCTCTCCCTCGGGATCAGATCCACGGCCCCTTTCGGGGCGGACGCGCGTCGGCAGCGCCCTCTGTCGGCCACTCCTGGAAAGTGGCGCGGCTGTGGGCGGCATGGTACCCGGCGCTGCCCCGGGCAGGGCAGAGATCCCGAGGGTCCAAAGGTCCCATTGAGGCCGGATTGTGGAAGAGCGTTATCCAGACAGAGGCTTGCCTGGGAGCCACAGACCTTGCTCAAGTCCCTGCCCTGCCTTCTGTATTTCATGTGCCCGCAAGCAAATCACCTTCCCTTCCAGCCTCAGCCTCCCCTTCTTTGGCACAAGTGTTTCCCTGAGCACCTCTCGTGTGCAG